TTCTCATTCTTACTTCCAGACCCTAAACAGGTTTTCCACAGTCAAAAATAGTAGGGTGAATTTAAGTCTGCTGAAAAGATTAAGTTAGGAAATAGGTTATTTTATTTATTTAATCTTTTTTTCCCTGATCCATTTCTTTTTTAATATACATTTTTAATTTTTTTATTGCTGACACTATTACAGATGTCCCGTTTTCCCTCTCTTTCCACCTCCACCAGCTCCCCATCCCCTGTCCTTCACCTCACTGTTTTACGTGTCCATGGGCTATGCACATATATAAGTTCAGTAATGTTTTAGAATTTATGATATTGGTTAATGGGGAAACCATTATCATACTTCTCACCCTCTAGGTATCACCCAGCTCTTGGCTTTGTGAATGTTTATAGTCTCGGGACCTATTATAAATACATCTGAATAATTGATTTCATTTTTCCAAAAGTGTTTTTCCAATATCCCATTGTGGAGATAAAAAGGAAAGCCTATGGCAATATTCTTGACCTCAGTAATTTGTTGGGAAGTTAACATTTATATGTGAAACTATATTTTGGTTGCTCTCCAGTAATCTCATGGTCCAGATGGCCAGGAAGGGAAAAGATTATTACTGGTGAATGCAGCCAGGAAAGTTTCATGCAGGTGGCAAGAATTTGGATAGCCAACATAATTTTCCAAACTATCTGGCTGTTTCTTTTCACAATATTTAATGAAGCCTAGAATAAGTGTTGTGTGTTTCTCCTTATAGAGCAAATAGACTGTGGAAATGTATTGTTAAACTCATTAATTCATTTAACGATCATCTATTGAAAGCCCATTGTCTGTTAAGTACTGTTTTCGGGATATTGTTCTCACTATATCAAACTCCTGTCATACCACCTGTAATTGCACGACCAGCTGTTATATTTGAAGGTAGTTTTGACCTCCAGAATCAGATAATGAAATGGTTATTTATGTAAATATTAATATTGATAAATAAAACATGGAGCATCACAAATAGTTGCTTATAACAAAGTATTTGGAGATTAGAAATTTGCATGTAATAAATATTTTATGATTTTGCTGAAGTAAAGTTTTGGAAGAAATGTCTCAAGCCGTCACAACATCAATCGCTGTTTTGTGTAAAGCACTGTGATGGGTGCTGGGAGAGTCATTTTGTATGTACTTTCTGCCCAAGGTCTGGTGGAGAATAGGCTTCCTCCAGTTTTCATAGTCTCTTTAAGGCATTGGTGGGCCCCTTGCACCAGAGATTCTAATATTGGCTTCTCACTGTTGGAGAGCTGCTGGGGTGCTCGATGCAGCTTGGATCTGTCTGGCTAGTGCTCGAGGCTCCTGCTCCATTGAGGGTGGGGCAGGCAGGGAGGGGACTGGCTATTCTTCAGCCCCAGTGTACAAGGTTAAGACATTGAATTATTTTATATCTGCTTCACAGGATTGAAGCAGATAATTACTGTTTTCTTTATGTTACCTTGTGCTTAGTAGACTATTAATGCAATACTTTGATATTATAAGTAAAACGAACAGGGGAAAACAGATATGAGTTTAAAGAGTTGGTAGGCCACTGTCACTAATTGATGAAATATTTACTGTTCCTTTTTTTTTTAAATAGAACAAATGACAAACATGAGTGTGTTCATTTGGACCAAGAAACATAAACTCTTGTGGAACTGAGACTATAATATTTAAAGAAAACAATTTTCTTCAAAGTCATTTTCCTGAAAAATCAACAAAATAAAGAGGGAACAAAGCTTGTTAAATCGGGGCAGACTCAGAAAACTGCTGGCAAGAGATTAGTTTATGTTGTGAGGAAGCAGACAGGTGACTGCTTTTGTGTGTCAAAATTTTTCTCCTTTGACATCCTTATTATAATCAACTATTAGGTACTGAGTCTGTATATAGTATTTATATTGGAAACAGACCAGAAAATCAAGTAAAGGAGAAATCAGAATTATCCTTTTGTGGACAGATAGATACAACAGCACAGTGAGAACCGGAGTTTCCTTACTTGTAATCAAAATCGGATTTAAGGCAACTGCACAGTTTACTCAGAGTATTAGCTACCTTGGGGAAGCCTGTGGACTTACCCAGTCATCATAGTAACATACTGCCTGAGACTTTTAGGGCACCACTGAGTGGCCCAGTGATCATTTTCTGGATTGGCCAAGTGGGAGGTTCTAGTGTACTCCTGCCACTCTAAGATGAAGCTGTATTTTTATTTATTCCAAAAATACCTGTTGAAAGGCTTCTGTGTGCTGCTCCATATTTATTTATTTAACTCTTGGGGGAAATTAATAATATGTGATCTGTGCCCTGCTAGAATTTAGGCCAGTAGGAAAAGAAAGCATTAATAACTTGTTTTATTTTTATTATTTATTTAGAAATTTATAGATTTTAATTAAGCTTAAAAATGAGCAATCTCCTATCTTACCACTCTCCACCACTTAATTCCCCAGAAAGACCACTTTGAACTTTTAGCCATTTCTTCCATTTCTGTAAAGATAATAAATATTTTGCTATTCCTTGTTTTTTTCCACAGTTTTTTTTATTGATTTTAATTTTAATTTTATTTTTTTAGGGAGAGGGAGGGAGGGAGGGAGAGAGAGAGTTACTGACTTGTTGTTCCACTTATTTATACATTTATTGGTCGTCTGGCGTATGGGGACCATGCTCTAACCATCTGAGCTACCTGGCCAGGGCTCTTTTGAAGTTTTAGATATCTTTTTACTTCCTACTCTTGTCACACTATGTCTTGAATTCATATTATCTTAATGCTCATTTCCCTTATTCTCGCAATAAAGTGAAAACTTAATTCTGGCAAAATCAGTTTTTAATGTTTATATTACAGTGACTTCGTACCTATCATTCCCATTAAGCTATTTCATTAGCTTTGGTACTTGTATATAACTTTATTTTCCTAGGAGTTAAATAAAGATTATAAATATCCTCTCATTACATTCAGACACATCAGGATATTGTTCAGTTCTGTTTTTCTTTCTTGGGAGACATCTCCTTGAGCCTCTGACCTCTTGCTCCTGTCTAGATAAGATCCACTTCCAACCTTCTGCACGACTGTTGCCCGGGAATATGTAGCTGTGTTGCCTTGAGAACTCCATTTGCTGTTTTTTTCTTATATTGGATCTCCTGTCTCTATATTTCATACCCTCTTCTCTCTGTTTATTCCCATGTTTGGTTAGAGTGGGTCATCCAGTAGATGCCAATAAAAAGAAGCCTGTGCTGGTAAGGTTTTCTTTTCGTTTTTGATATTTATTAAATAGTTTGGGAGACATTGAGTTAGAAATCTGGGGTTAAAGTGTTTCTTTACTTTCAACTATCTCTCTGTTTATATCTCCTCTTGTTTCCTCACCTTTAGGAGTACTGGCTACCTCCAATTCCTGTAGCCCAAACTGCCATATCTCTTGGTTTCTTTCTCTGTAGGCATGTTCATGTTGCCTTCCAGCACCCAAAGTTTGGTCGACCTTTTTTTTTCAGACTCACCAACAGAGATCTTCAGTGACAGTAGACAGCTGCCAGAACAATGATGGAATTGCTTTCTTTGCCGAAAGTACAAACAGAATATGTTATTATGCACTCCAGTTAAAATCCATATATTTGAAAAGTGTTTTCTGTTCAGCTGACTGTTGTCAAAACTGGGTTGCGTTGTAACATTGATAGAGTTATTTTTGCAGAAATTAAAACCTTTTAACTTTTAAAAAAGTTATCCTTACTCTAAGGCCATTAATGTGTTTAAAAGATTAATCTGAGTCTCCCAGGTAATCCTTTGATTTCTGTTTTGGTAACTGTGACTAAAACCCAGTGTGAAGTAGTGGTTAGGGATAGCATTTCAGACCAGCTTAGTTTACTGTAAACCTAGCAGTTCTGAAGAGGAAGAAAATAAATCCTGGGTTGGAATTTGAAATTCTTGAATGGAACACATTCTTTCTCTTCCTTAATAAGTCCTGCTGATGTGAGTCTTGATTTGTTTCCCCTGTCGGCTTCTTGCCAGACTTAGTAGACTTCTGGTCTCGCAGTATGTTTTCAATATTAGCATGAGTGAAGGAAGGGAATGGGGGAGCCTAAAGAAGAGGGGCATACTGGAAGGTTCAAAGCTTAAATGAAAACAAATTTCGCATTCATCTTATTTGTTTCCTTAGTGCTGTAACAAAACGTTTTTATTTCGGTTAATAATTCATATTAAGCTTAAGGTATAAAAATTGATGTGGGTGAATTATGCTTCATAGCTGCCATTTGGGACTATGCATTTTTAAAGAAAAGGCTACTGTCACTCCCTGTTTACTTCTGGTTTATTCTTTTAAAGTTTCTGAATACTTGATCCTTTCCCCAAGCGACAGCAATACAGGTTCAGATAGTTTTCCAAAGCAGTGCTTGTCAACTTCTATGCAGACGGGTCACCTGGGGACTTTGTTAAAATGCAGATTCTGGAGTGGGGCCTGAGAGTCTGTAATTCTAACAAGTTCCCAAAATGCTGATGCTGGTGGTCATTCTACAGCAACGGTGTAAAATATTGTGGGTGTAGGAGGAATACAGGATCTCCTGAATCTCTAGAAAGAAGTCAGTGGGAGACCTTGCATTACTGGCTGCTGCTAAGTACATCTACATAGTACTGGATTTATTGCATCTTATAGATTTAGTAGGTTTTTTCATTATTTGTAATATTGTGTTTAGAAGTGATTCTAGTTCTATACTTTTATTTTTTAGTGTGAGAGTTTTACATATTAAATATATAAACTATATTCCCCTAGTGTCTGTAAAGAAAAACATATTATACTTGCTAGCTGCTTAACTGTAATTTGTGGCACACAGACATCTCATCTGTAGCCATTAGTCATTGAGATTCTATTGTATATACTGTTTTATGCTTATAAAAACATAAAACCATAGCATATATACCAACTTATAACTAGCTTCATTGTAATGTTTGTTCCTGTGCAATTAGATATTAGCAATGAAAAAAGGTTAATGCTTCTTTTTAAAATTTGTCTTCTAAATAGCTCAGTCGCTGAAAGAATTTGCAAGACTACTCATCACAGTAGAAGAAGAGAGGAGACGACTGGTAAGTGTATTACTCATCCTTAAGAAGAATGCTTTGTTTGAACTTAAAAAAAATAAAATAAGAAAAGAAAGAATAGATCTTTTGAATTAGGCTAGCCATACAAGACCTAATAAAGTGATGCATGTACTGAATGTTACAGGAAAAAATTGTATGATTATTAAATATTGCTAATAAGATACACCATTTCTATTTCTTTCATTTTTTCAACAGATGTAAATTACATCCATTTTGTTTTCTAGCTAAATTTTCTGAAAATTAAATTCTTTTTTTTTTTTTTAAAGGTTTTTTTTTTTTTTTTT